GCATGTAGGCGACGTGAGGCTCACCGTGGCCGAAGGGGAAACGGAGGCGAAGGGGAAAAGGGGTAAGGGGGAGGGAGTGAAAGGGGATAGAGAAGAAAGGGGGATAAGAGAGTGAGGGCCACGTACAGCAAAGCCAGCGTCAAATCACCATGGATATGTGCCTTGAGCTCAATCTCGATCTCCAAGTTCAGGTCTAGCCGAAGCTTGAGGGGGTTCTTTCCACCACCGTCACCACCCTTCTGCTGCATCTGCTGCTGTTGTTGTTGCATCATCATCTGCTGCTGGCGCTGCTGTTGTTGGTAGGCAATCTGTTCATCGTAGTCCTCGTCATCTTCGGTGTCCTCGTCGCTATAGCGGCGGCGGCGGCGGCGACGGCGCTCCACTTGCTGGTCTTGGGCCTGCTTCGGCTTCTTCTGCTTTTGCATCCACTTGGGTTGCGGCTTCTCATCATCCTTGGGTGTTGGTGGCTGGGAGAGAGCTGGGCTGTGTTCGTCTGCCTCTTCTTCCTTTTGCTTCTTGGGGCGTGGATAGTCTTCGGCATCCTCTTCGTCCTCTTCCTCGTCTTGGCCCTGGTCACGGTCGTCACCCGACTGGTAGTCATCTTCTAGTACACGCTGGTCTTCGTCCTCCGGGTCCTCCTCGTCATAGTCCTCTCCTTCGTCGTCATTCTGCTGCTGAATGTTGTTGTTATCGTTGTCGTTGTCATTGTCGTTGTCGTCTTCAGCGGCCTCGTCCTCAGCGGTGGCATGCTGTGGTTGCTCAGCCTGGCCAGCTTGTTCGGCTTGTTGCTCCTCATCGTCCCACTGCTTCGGGTCCTTCTGACTTTGCTTTCTCTGAGGCTGCGTATTGTTAGGCCTAAGTCTTTGCCGAAGGGACTTGTGCTTCAAGGAGGGGTCCTACCGATGACATGGTTGTGGTTTGCGGTATGAAGTTTGTCGGTCTAGTGCAAGTGTTCTTTGCCAAAAGGTTTGGACGAGACGAAATGGTTAAGGCTGTTAGTGGAGGTCCAGTTTAAAAGACAACTACTTCAACACAAAATTTCCAGGGATGAACAACAGCTTGGAAGACCCTGCATCATAGCTCAAAAAAAAACATGATTCTCAGCCGACTCTCTCCATGCCGGAAGTACCGTCGTCAAACCCGGTGACGACATAGTGCTACCCGGGTGGGCAAGCCACACCGTTTTCCTTCCATTCCTACGCTCAGCTACGTATCCCATAAACGGAGGGCAGCGTGGGTAGGGAGGTGGCTGGGGTCGGCAAAGGGTGACAATGAAGTTGGCCAGTATCAAAGCCACAGTGCTCAATGACGTCTCCTTGCAGAAGTGGCTTACCAGCCCAGCAAATTCAAGGGGGCAGGGGCAAATAGAATAAGCCTTCCCGAGGGTGGCTCACTTGATCGTGAGCCCAAACAGGCAGGCAGAGAAACATGGTTGGTGAAACGGTGTCGGGGTCGTTGGGAAACCGGCCCGGGTAACGGCCAACCGGGGGGCCGTGGCGAGAAGGCCCAGCGTATAAGGTATGTTGCGAAGTTTTCCGTGTCATGCATCAACGGCCAGAACCTTCAACAGACACACTCCAAACACAAACTCGGCCCACCCCATATTCGGAAAGACGCGCCATGCCGATCGGTCTGCTCGTCATTGCCGGCATCCCCACGACCATCGGGGTCTGCGAAGCCCTGAGCGCGCAGAAAAAAGCGAATGTCAGCGGCCAAGGAAAAGGCCAAGTTCCACCTAACGGCCACCGTTTCACTTGATGGACAGGGCCCAGTTGAGTGCTGGTGTATCCTGAAAGATGGAAATGTGAGTGTTGAAGGGAATATCCCGGGTTCATCGGCTTTTCCGATTTCCGAGATTTCGGAGTCCCGAAGTCTGGGAAGCGTTCGTAAATGTGAGATAACCGAACCGGGACCGCCAGCTAACGAGTCGTGTAGTTGTGGATTGACCACCCCGCCTTCCCGATGCCGGGACACAAGTTCACGGGTTACTACTTCACGTACCCATCTGAAGAAAAACACCTAGGGCTGGTGAGCACCATTGCTGATGACCCGCCCATGCTCAACTGGCTTTTTGTCGACAAAGACACCAACATGGTGCGGCACGGGGGTCGGCAAGCATACGCTGGGTGGGCACACGGTCGGGCCCTGGTTTTGGAGCGATGACGAACAATGGTTAACTTGGAAGAAGACTCGTTCAAGTTTGTGGCCGTGCAGCAGGATAACAAAAAGTGGGCAGTTGCCTTGGATCGAGATGGAGCCTTCAGCGCGGGTGCGGGGCCGGGGAAGGAGGGTAGCAAAACGGAAGCAAAAACGGAGAGGCCGCGGCGCCCCCGTAAGTGGATTCCCATCATGCTCAGGAGGCGCCTTCAGCTAGGCATGGAGAGTCGATACGTCAAAGGAGCAAATGGATAAACGCCCTGAACATGACTAGAGATGCATTCTGTGACATTAGTGGTGTGAGCTGTGTTTGAACTTCCCTTGGTTGTTATGCGCGAACTACTCCTTTTTTTTTTCGGTTTTCCTTGGTGTTCCTTGGAGGATTCAGGGGAAGTCCGCTTGCGTTCACTGTAAGTGTGGAACTGACATGCAAGCGAATGACTACTGCACCGATGATGCTTGAAATGGTAGTTTATGCAGCCACTCTGGGGCCATGGAACAGCATTCGATTTCTTGGCCGGCACAGCCCGTGTGGATAGTTGGCGAGTCGTGGCTATTGGGTAAGGAGTCGGTTCCCGGGGTCCAGGGCCCAAATCGTCCGATGACTTCATCGAGAAGTTCATCCCTTTGGATCCGGTTTTGGCCACTAATGAAGGAGACTTCAGTCTGGCCTTTAATAACCCACCGTCTCGACGGCCCAGGACCCTTCGAACACCACTCGACCGCAAACCCACCTCACCTTCCATTAATCCAAATTGACGAAGACCCTTAGAGTCACAACCAACATCCACTCTACTCTATCTTTCTAATTCCTTCTCCCCGCACAACACACTTCAACAATGGCATCCCGCAGCGGCTCAGAGGAGAAGAAGCCACGGCGCCAGCAGCAGACATACGAGTCTGAAGGCGAAGAATCCGAAGAGTACCAGTCCCCGCCGCCCCGGAGGAAGCGCAACCAGCGTCAGAAGAAAGGCGGCCAAGGGCCCCTCGACAACCTTGCCCTCGACAATGTTCAGAACACAGCAGGCGGCCTCGTCAACTCAGCAACGGGCGCACTAGGCGGCGTGGCGGGTAACGCCGTTCAAAACCAAGGGGGCGGAGACGGCGGCGGCAAGAGTGATACTCTGAGACTCAGGTTGGACCTCAACCTCGACATCGAGATCACTCTCAAGGCTAAGATCCATGGTGATCTGGAGCTTGCTCTCTTGTATGTGCCTTTTTCTTCTCCATTTTGCTTTTTCCTTCTTTCACCACTACTCCTCTCCCCACCCCAGGTTTTATCTATGCTTTTCAAGCGTCAGCCATGCAAGCAAAACTTCACGCTTGAAATGCCGACGCGTGTTCCAGTCTTTAGAACAAGTGTCATTCACCGCCATAACCACGATTTCACCACTTCTCCCGAGTGCTTTCCTATGTCCGAATCCCGTCTCTTGCACAGGCTAAAGGACGATGCAGAGAAACCTGAGCAGGCGACACTTGGCTCTCGGGGGATCCCAGTTCTGCGCACCGTTCCGTTTTATGGACGGGGATGATGTTGTTGTTGTCGTTGTTGCCGTTGTTGCTCTTGAGGATTCGCGGTTTATGGATAGGTATAAGGGCTAATTCCTTAGGAACTGAAGCAACTAAAACCCACCTGAAGAGCTCAAGACGGGCTCGACAAGGGCTATATCTTTCGTGTACCAGAATCCGGTTCGGGAAACGGGATAACGGCGGTTTGGGTTTTTGCGTTTTAATTGTCACGAAGGGGAAACGGGTTCATGTTTCATGTTAATATTAGTTGGCAAACGACCACCATCGGATTTTGGGCGATTTATTAGAGTTTCAGGGCCATAACTCACTATAGCAGAGCTATTACCAGTGAATTTACCGCGTTAATTGTCTTCACTTATTCATCTCCTTTGCACGACTTCCAAGGCGCGCTGCGACCGGCCCATGGCGTGTGAGCGGCGGGGAGGGCGTGTGAGCGGCGGGGAGGGCGTGTGTGAGGTTCTCAATAATCGCCGTATTGTACAAATCCCGTTTCAAGCAGTCCGTTTTTGGCCTGACATGGGTGCCCCCGAAGTGATCGACCATGGCTCGTGCGCGCCGTTGGGACCAAGCCAGGGTTCTGCTCTGGTCCAAACTCAATTCCAACTTACACAGTACCTACCCAACTACCTAGACTGCTAGCATTGTTAATTCACTACGTCCGATCAACACGAGTGCAGATTACTTCTCACCTCGTATAGACTAGAAAACAACATGGCAGCAACCAAAGCCGAAAAGTTGGACAGCACAAAAAACCGCCCACTTGGCAACCGAGACGCGCAATCCCGACACGGCAAAACTTCCGATACCTTGCCAAGCACCCGCATTCTTCAGCGCGAAGTTCCTTGCATCCACCCCTGACGGAACACAACCACACCACTGATGTCATGCATCTGCCGCTTGCAGACCGAGTCTCCAGGACGGGGATGGCTACTGTGTCGGTAGTCTGGTAGCCTCAGGTAGTATAGTCGTTGTTCAGCTGCCCTCATGCCCGACTGCTTTGTGTATCCATTTTCTCCTGATTTTTTAGCGGGGATTTCGCATTGATGCGTTCCTGAAAGCAAATCAAAATCCCTGTATCTCATCCCAACTCCCACCTTCCTCCCCCATGACGTCATTTTCCCTCCCTTCTCCCTCATACTATCTCGCATCCACACCACCACGACACCCTGGAGAGACAAGCGAGACAAGCTTGGATCTAGCAGAGGTTCCAGAGTCTGACCGTTACCCATCGATCATCACGCGCCTTGTTTCTGGCGACCCAGTCGAGTCAGTGTACCGAGCTGGAGTCAACCCAGGCCCACAGAGCGCAACCCATTTCTTTGAAGAGAAACACGAAAAGAAAAAAGATTCTCTGGCCACCAAAGATAGAAGGAGTTCAATAGATAGTCATCCAGCAGTCATGGCATCCAAGTCTCCGCTAGAGCAGGGACCTCAATCACCCCCACACTCTGAGGCAGAAGAAGCACGGGTTATCGACAGCGAGGGAGAAGACCAGAGCGGTAACCAAAAGGAAGACACGCCCAAACGGCCAAAAAGCCCTGCCTACGTCGCCCCTATCTCGAGGATAGGCAGCATCTCACCAAAAATCTCGCCTAGGATCCAAATATCCGCCACGGACCGCCCAGAGCTTCCGTCGTTCGTCGGCACGCTTCTCGTCGGAAAACTGATCGATGAAGACGGCGATGTGATAGACGAGAAGACAGGGCAGGTCCTAGCGCACGCCGCCGGTGACCTTCCCACGATGGTCGGCCGGCGGGTGACCAACGCCCAAGGCGATATCCTCGGTGATGACGGCGAACTCCTGGGATACGTCGCCGATATCGAGTGGCCTAAGGATCGGCCGCCGCCGACGGCACCACCACGGAGCCTATTTGACGTGATGGGGCGCGCCACGAGCTCCTTGATGGTCGACCACGCGGGGAACATCCTCGACGCCAGCGGGAATGTCGTCGGCACCTTCCACGACAACAATAACCCGCTCCATCGCAAGGAAAAGGAGGAGAAGGAGGCCAGAGAGCGCCTGGCAGAAGGAAATCGACAAACCATCAGGACAGCAGCAAGAAGGAGAGAGGGCGTCAACAGCGGCCTACTTCTCCGACGCCGACGCCACCGCCGCAGCAAACCGAGGAGCAGGAGGAACCCCAATCGTACTCGACTTCTGGTGGTGAGAGTCAGCCTAAGCCGAGACGCACGGAGGAGGAGCGGAGACAAAATGCGGAAGCGTGGAGGAAGGAGAACCCCAACGAAAGCCCGTCTGATATTTTCTTGGATGTCAAGTCCACCAGGGAGGGGATCCAGCTGACCATCCGAATTCCGACCGTGTTTAATGGTCAGCAGACCACACCACACATATCGTTTTCGTAGCTGTGATAAGAGAGGCTGGAGAGAACTAGAGAGGGTATGACGGAATCTTTGCAGCGATAATATTGTGAGGGTTGCTACAAGTGGCTGTTGAGGAGTCCAGGGGTGGGGGCTATTGGGTAGCGGAATCGGGGAGTTCAGGATCGGCGCGACTTCTCGTGTACCAAGTAGTGTCTCCAGGCATCGCGGAGGTCGGATCGAGATTCTCTATAGGTTATTGATAGGGCGAAAGTCCCCGAGTCCAAAATAGACCAGTATAACGCAAGCAGTGACAAGGCAGCCTACGCTGATCTGGGCCTAGGGGGGGTGGCTAAACGGAGATGTGGTGTGTGTGGGAGAAAAGATCACTGGGGGGTCAGCCCGGGAAAATCAGGTTTTTGAGCCACACAAGGAGCGCCAGAGAGCCACAGTCAAGCCATAACCAACCCCTGACATGACGTCTCAAATGGCCTCGGCCCTGCGAGTCATCCTGCCGCATCAGCTCCCTTGTAGTTAGCCAGTGGGCTGGGCCCCTTTCTTTCAAGACTGGAAGAGCCCTTGGCAACCACATGGCGAAACGGTCAACGAGTACCAAAACGGAGAAGATACTCGACGACATTCCACCTAGGCGCATACAGGTTCGAGCAAAACCTGGTTCTAATCCTCCCACCGCAGCCACCCACCTCGAGGAGACGTGCTGTGTTCCTCAGACACCGATCTGTCCAGCTACCCCATCAAGCCCACAACTAGCCGGCCTTTTGAAAGGCCACAACTTGGAATAAAGGCAAGCATACCCCCTTATTAGATTTAAGTTACTCGGCGGACGGAGCCATCTTTATGCAAAAAAAATTCGCGGGTCCCCTATTGGGGCGCGGAGAAAAATATGAAGTCATCCCGTCTCGGTGTGGCAACTCTCGATCCAAGGGTCCTGTGGGTCAAGTGCGATTCGAGCTGAACAATCTTGCAGGCATGGACGCTCGAGATCGAAACACACATCGGAAGAGATACAGGGCAATTGCCCAATGAGCACACGGACTCTCTGTCGGTTTCTCCTCCTCCCTGACGTAAGTTCTTGCGAATGACGTTGAGACGAAGTCAGGTCTTCATGCAAGAGTTGTTGGCTCATATCTCATCAGTTCGTCTAAGTTCACCAGTAGAGACGAGATATGCATAAAAGGATTAAATGATTGGAAGAACCCTCAGAGTGAAATGGTTCCTGGAGCCTAGAACACACATCAGATCTACAAAAATAACATCAGCCGAGCATACCAAGATCAACAGAACAACTTCCCTTGATGCTACTACTAGCCTCATTTCATATTCGTACCATTTTAAGACAACCAATTTTCCACAATGAGTAACATCGCTCAGAAGAATGCGCCGCCCGGCTCCTGGCCCTGCAACAAGGGCGAAGCGGGCGACACGAACCAAATTGATACGGAGCCACGCTCGCCGCCAGCCGTGCCCGAGTATCAGAGCGGCTTTTTCAACGGCGGCAGCTCGGGCGACTGGTCCCAGAGTGGCGAGTACACTCACCGAGATCCCCAAACCAAGGCCCGAGAGCAGCGGCGGGATCAGCAGGATGGAGTGGAAGAAGAGCAGCAGGAGCCGATCAAGATGAAAGATGTCGAGCCGAAGCCTGTTGGCGAGAGCGAAGAGCACCAGGAAGTAGGTGATCAGGAAGAAGATGAGAAGAAGACGGCCAAAGAAGAGGATTTTGCTCCTGGTGTGGAACAGCAGTCTGAGCAGCAAGAGCCCATAACAGCAGAGACCGGCGACGATGCCGAAGCCCCTGCTGAAGTTGGCACCGACCCTTCACTCACCGAAAAGGCCAAACAGGCATTCGACCAGGCCTCAGAGAACCAGCCAACCAACGACGCGCGAGACTCATTCCTCAAGGCCGCCCGAACCAACTTGACCGTCCCCAAGTTTGGCTCTCCCCGACCCCAAGAGGAAGGAGAGGAGCAGAAGGCCCTTGAAGCTGAGGCCTCGGAGCCAGCCGACGATGTTCCAGCCGAAGCCCAGGAGGCGGTGCAAACAGGCAAGAAAGAGGACAACATCCCCACCACCGAGGACAAAGCCACCACCGAGCCCCAGGAGAAGAAGGCCGCTTTGGGGCGAAGAAGCCTCGCCCGCCATCAAATTCTCAAG